CTCTCAAGTGAATTATTTACACCTTTTATTAGAACGTTTCAAGATGTTGAATGCAAAACCTATTGGTACTCCGTTGAATCCTGGTACTCAATGTACCAGGTTAATCAAACCGAAAAAGGATATACTTGAACCGGATTTACCATTTAGACAAGCAGTAGATGCATTGTTATTCGCGGCTATGGTCAGTAGACCCGACATAGCGTTTGCGGTAGGACAAGTAAGCAGATATTTGACGTGATTTGATCAAACTCACTGGATAGCGGTTAAACAAATCATGCGCTATTTACTTGCGACGTTAAATTATTCTCTTGTTTATCGCGCTAAAAATACTGGCATGCAATTCACGGGTTACACGGATGCGGCTTATGCTGGATGCCTTGACACACGCAGATCGACGGCTGGATTTTGTTTCTTAATTAATAAGACAGCGGTAACGTGGGATTCTCAAAGACAAACCACGGTATCATTAAGCAGCACTGAGTCTGAACAGGTGTAAAAGACGCTATTTGGATTTCAAATTTTCTAGAACTCGGACATTTATTCAAACCATTTCCTATCTTGATAGATAATCAGAGCACTATACGACTTGCGTCTAACCCTAAATTCTTTCGTCGAACCAAGCATTTAGACGTGCGTTACCATTTTGTGCGAGATATGATCAAGCACGGTATTATTTCTATAGCTTATATTCCAACAGAAGAAAATGTTTCCGATATTTTTACCAAAATTTTGACTAAGTGTAAGCTGTTAAAAATGTATTCTATGTTAGGATTGTATAATGTCTGTAATATCAGCGCGAGTGGAGGTGTTGAACATGGCGCGCCTAATATTGTGACATCAATCTATCGAGCGTCTAACTAAATAATCGATACTATGAGCCAATAGGATTACGCGGTGCGTGCGCACGTTCGTAAATAATAAGCGTTGTTGTCGTCTCTACGAGACACTCTCTTTTGTAATCTCCCAAAACGGAATTATTATACGATATAACCTACACTGCTTTTGTTTCAATATAACCAGAACCAAACAGTTACGATTTATTTCATCCGGACGTCATCTTAGAACTCACATGGAGACATCGCATTTTACATTTCGCCGTATCTTATACAAGTCGCGCGGGAATATATCACTAAGGTCAATAAATTAGAAGAGCCGACGCATCGAAGAAACTGATCATCAGGAACACAAGCCTATGATCATGCCAGAACCTCAGCTAATGCTGATTGCAGGGTCAGGAATGATGGCACCTGGCTACGCGATTCAAAACGTAGGGTAAAATCGCCTATTATGAGATATCTTTTTTTAAAGGCTTGTAATTTATTTAATTTATAACCTGAATTAGTTTTACGTCAAATTTATGGGAAATATATTTAAGTTTTATCGCCAAAAGTTAGTAGTCGATAATAGCTATACTTTGTCGTATGTGAAATTTTTTATTAAAAGTGCAGATTTTTATCATTCAAAAAAAGGATTCCTAGTATGAGATATAAGAGTTTTTTTGTGTGAGGATCTCATAACAGGAAACTAAGGAAAAAATAATGATAAGCTTTTTATACACGCTTTTATTATATTACATACAAGTAGGAACAAAAAATTGTAATGTTATATATAATAATTATATAATTTTTCGATTTGTGTATGTGAGTATGTGTGTATGTGTGTGTGAGTAATCTTAACAATAGAATCGTTATTTTTAACATTTTGTTCGATAGTATGCTTTGGGACATTGAATTGTTAAATGCTCTTATATTAGCTAGGAATATCCTGAGTATCTCATATTACGACTTTCATGCTTTGCGGTTTCATGATCACCAAATCTATTCTTTACAGTTAAACAAATCATTATATCACGTGTTTTCCTATGAATACTCTATCACTGCATGCAGATTTTATTACCCAAATATTTATTTTTGTATAATAAAACAAGATTTAAAGACTAACCTCAATAAAATTTGACAACATTTAATTTCATAAATCTTTTTTGCAACGACTACACACATGATTTAACCCTTGAACACCACACTATTTTCGCCACCTGATTTCACTATACATGGCTTACGGTAACCTTGGAGTCTTCTTTTGCTTTTATCCCGGGATCTAATGCATCAATGCAAAGTTTTTTCCTCCCATTGCTCCCACTCCACAATTCTGACAGTTCATAAACGCCACGCGTTTTTTCAAACGGACTGGGTTACCGTAACCCAGTGTGGTGTTCAAGGGTTAATAATGAATTTTCTACTAAACAGGTTTCACGCTAAGAATAAAAAGTTTATGATAGAATCAAACACATGCGCTTGTTAGTTTAGCAGAAACCCCGCTATCTCATATTAGGAATCTATCCTATAATAGGCGACTTTACCCTATAAGGTACACCCGTACAAGTGTACGCGTCTACCGCAGCCTACTCACAGATATCTAGATTGATACGTGAAAGAATGCGTCAACAAATCGCCATGTTAAGTGAGAAAGTTCCAACGCATGCGCATTGAAGAAGCGCGTTCTGAATACGAGTCACATATTATATGTATACATTGTACTAGACTGCTAATATCTATTACTACAATAAATTTATTCCTAACTGAAAACAGGTATATTTTAAAGAAAATTAATTATGATTATTGGATTGTTTCACAATAATGTTTTATATATATATATATATATAAACATGCGCATGCGTCGGAACTTTTAGTGCGCATGCGTTGGAACTTTCTCACTTAACATGGCGCGAGATGACACGAATGTGTGATGGGGGAAAGGACATCAGCAATTTAGATATCTATGAGCCTACCAAGGTTACGGTATGTGAAATACGTTTAAGGAAACAGATCGACAAAGTCTATTTTTTTATAAAGTTTAGGTAGAATGAGATTGTTTTGTTAGCTTAATATCGTCAAAGCGAATACGAATAAATATCATTAGAAAAAAATTATAAATTGCCACGTTTAGATTATGATAATAGTGTATCGAATAGCAAAATGCATTGAGAAAAGGCATTAACCCTTTGGCCTACAACTACGAGTGAAACTCGTGGTAAGGAATTTGATCCATAAACAATAAGCACGAGTCAGACTCCTTACCACGAGTCTCACTTACCAAATTCCTTACCACGAGTCTCACTCGTGGTTGTAGGCCAAAGGGTTAATACGCTATCACACGCTACCTAAATGTGAATGTGTAATTTATAGGAAAGACGTCGAGAAAATTATATTTCATGATTTAAACAGCGGATTTTGTGTGAAACAAATTTAAAGAACTATTATTTAGAAATTATTGTAACGAAAAAAAAAAACGTTTTTTGTCTCTTTTTTTAAATGCAATTTATCGAGATTTTTCTGTTGAATTATCGTTGCACAGTCAATGAAAAAGATATACGTATGTTGTGTAACCATAGTATAATTTCCCTGTCTTTTACCGGCATATGTGCGCGCGCACGCGCTATGTGCCTTTCTTTTGGCTACTAACAGGAAGCAAACTTTTTTGGGTAATATCGTAATTCGGAAGCAAAATCAAGTGTAGATCAACATTTACATCGTAATTTCTGTACAGATTATCCAGCGCTTGCTTTTCGGCGAAATTTCTTTCAATTTCTCATCACTTATGTAAACATGCTTTTTTTAAAGTCATCCCGTCTTTCTTTATCTTTGAATAAACGTTTGTTTTGCTGTAATTTTATTTTTATAATTTAAAATATATTTTCTTTGTTTTGTATCTCTGGTTCGTAGTCCTTCCAATTTCTAATATTAAATATATGCCAATTCTAAATTTCACAGTGATAAAATGAAATATGTATAAGCATAAAAAATATTAACGTTTAATAAGAAAAGAACTACTGAACATTACAAATTTTTATTTGAAAAGCAATAACGTAATACCAAGTTTATGTATTCATAAATATGATTTGTTATTGTTTAAATAATAGTTTCAATTACGATTTCTTTTTCTTAGTTGAAATATATTTTTTATATGCCACATAGTGTTTTCATGTTTATCCAGTACTGATAAAGTCCTTCATTCTGTATAGTAATTTTCCATCTTTCGCCATGTTAAGTGTCTTCGAAACATTGAATTACAGTAGCGTCTGAATTTTCCTCACAGTAATCTAAATGTTTTTTTTTGTTTCCATTCTGGTTAGTCAAATTAATATTGTATAATGGCCTAGTTTACATCCTACGTTTAGGCCGCCACCTATACTTTAAATCTAACCTAAACACGACAGGTCGTGACGGTGTAAATATTTATAACGCTTAGGTGAGGGATCTTTTTCAAGAAAAAGATCCTCTCTTAAGCCGTAATCACACTACAGACTCTCGACTCTGACTCGACTACTGACTCGGACTCCCGACTATCATTCTACCAATCACAGCAAGGCAGCAGCCGACTCTGACTGCCGACTCGAGAATAGAAATCACTCTATTTGATCGGCTTTGAGTCGGGAGTCGGGAGTCAGAGTCGGGAGCCTGTAGTGTGATTACGGCTTTAGGCTGTACGACCTACCTAGCTTTAACGCATGTAAACGCAGGCAGATGGCCTAAAGGCGTAAAGTGTACTAAGAAACTAATGGTGAATTCGATCATTCGCACTACATTGGATCAGTGCATATTAAAAGCTGCTTTATATAAAATATCTCAATGCAGTGATACAATATAATCAACTTTAACAATGAAATTATACATATATTTTGTTAAATAACGTGACTATATCATTAGTAGATAGTTAATCGTTTAAAATATTTATATACTTTTACATTTAACTTTGTTAATTTTATGTAAAGCAGCTTTTAGTATGCACTGATCTAGTATAGTGCAAACGACCGAATTCGCTATAATAGATGACTCTATTTCATGTTTTTTAATGTGCAATAAGCTGTGTAGAAATGGATTTTATATTAGTGGATTTTATATTATAGGTCTATATTGGGGTAAACGCTCCGTTTGAGACCTGTCTTAGGTGGAGTAAAGGTCAGGGTATAGGTCAGGTCGTTGTGTAAACTAGGCCAATATTGACCTTTTTCTCTGAACGATAGTAATTTTTGATTTCTTATTTTCTTTATTTAGCACGTTGTATTGTACTGCTTCAGGACAAAATGATGAAAGACCATAAGTTTCGAAGCCTTTTCGCATGATAGTAGAAACATTAAGTGTGAAGGATTTTAATATACAATCCCTTCTTAATAACGAACTTGAGATTTATTGCTCGAGATACACACAAAAATGAACTGAACTGCTTCTCTCACTTACAGTGCTACCAACGACTTAAAAATTAAAAATGTTGCTAAAGCCGTTAACATGCGGCTAAAGTGGCCGCATCGCAGCCAAGTAACTAGCTCGCTAAATTGTGCGTGAAAATCGTATATTCGGGCCGCCTTGAAGTATAAACTTCAACAAGTAACATAAATGCCGATATTCGAATTACATTGATTGATCGACGTATCAAGTTTAAGTCAGACAATACGTGAATGGGCTTACAATAAAAATTAGGGTTAATCAATAGGCAATACACATATTTTAGACAATGAACGCTGAACAATTCCTCCGGTTGTTTTTAAGGATACAACGCGTATCAATCCATCTGAGCTAGGGTGAACTTCACAAATTCGACCAACTCTCCACTTGGGATGATCCCGATTGATCACGGCTCGATTAGACACCACCAATCACAGCGACCGGTGCTTAGGAGCTTTGTAGTCTTAAACGCTGTGAATGGCTCGTGTCCAATTGAGCCGTGTCCAACTGGGTGCCACCTTCTCCATTTCAACGGAGTCATATTATCGCGGATTAATACTAATTTGCCTAACTGTATCTCATGGTTGTGCATTGTGGTTTTCCACTTAGTCTTTTGTTGCATCTGAGTAACATACTCCTTTGACCAATGCCTTCAGAAAGATTGTTGTAACTGGTATATTTCAATATAACGTCCCCGATAGACTAATAATACGCTGGATCCAATCCGTAATTTTCGATATACGTGTATCGCCAAAATTTTTGAAAACATCTACCAATAAAAGTACATCCGTCTTAAGATACAAATCGCTGTAATTATCGAGAGTTTTGATACAAAAGCATCACCAAACATTCGTCGCGTGATATTCGTCGGAAACGATCTCGCCGGTTAACGAATTATAAAATGATTCGCACGGTGGTAAACTAGTTTCATTTAGTTTATTAACGTTATCGATGTACTCGTATGGAAATACTCTTTTACGTGTAAGTAGATCGAAATCCTCAGTGTTAAAAGAGAAATTCCGATTGTGTGATTTTCAATTCACTTTTATCGAGATACAATACCAATTTCTTGAGACTAATACTGAGAAATTTGAACGAATCCACAAATCGTAATTTCACACTGTCCGTTCCCCACGTAACTTTCGATGTATCTTTGACATATTTCGTAAGGGTGCTTTTTTATGCTGACGCTCGACGCTCATTTTCAGCGTCAAAACACATCACGTAGTCAAAATTGACGAATACCAAGCATCAATTTTGATCACATGACCTGTTTTGACGCTGAAAATAAGCGTCGAGCGTCAGCATGAAAAAGCACCCTAAAAGATAAATATTTTTCCTTCATTAACGGTAACAAATACTACCTTCAAAACTATTAGCAATATCTTTTATGATAAAATGTGCGTCATAACCTGACAAGTTATGAAAAAATACAAGAATAACATATGAATCTTGATAACTTAAATTACAATGTGAATGCGTGGGAACTCTGTAACATCCAGTTAAGTGGCAATGATCACATACACGCAAATCCCCCACCTTGAACGGTCTTTCACAGATATGACAATAAGTTGCATTGTCGAAATTTTTCCTACTCGTCTGATGTAAACTCCGTTATAGACACATTCTGAGTGAATATCGTCTTTACGCGATGTGTTAAATCGTACAATTTCTTGATAAACCATGATATGCAGTCTTCACTACGATAAGATCTGTATATCGACATAGTTTCGTCGTATACACAACGTATGTAATATCCTATGCTAAAAACCTTATGATAGGCGAAATTCGAAATATTTTCATCGTTAGTCTTCCTTTTCTCCAGCATACATTCCAAATCGGCGTAAACCACAAAAGGAAGTTGCTCCTTCTTATTATGATTATAAAACGACAACCATTTATCGTTCTCGTTCGGAAGAATAATTGCGCAATCGTTCGTTGTAGCGCAGTCAACAATGTGAAACGACAATTTCTCGTTCGAATGAAAATAATGTAAACATCTTTAAAGTAACAATTCATGCACATTACACACAATTTTTTTCATCGCTCTACATAAAAAAAAATTAGTCATTCGTATCTATGTCACACAAATACTTTTTCTTTGTATTCTTGCTTAATTGGGAATTTATCAATCGTAATGGATTTTTAATCCATACGAAATGATCAATATTCTGCTTTCGTTCCGTATTACGTTATTCCGCTGCACCGGTAGACACCTTAAGATCTGGTTATGATACTTGAATTTTGCTTCCTTTTCTATTATTTACATTAGTTATACTTTCATTTTTTAATTGTCTTGCTAATTCTTGAATACGTTATTTTATGTCAATTGCAATTATTTGCAATTCTTCTTTCAACAGCGGCGGTATGTCTGCGTGTAATGTCTGCTAGAGTAAGTGAAAAAATTTGACCGTTTTCAAATACTCATGGCTGCGCGCCGATTTCTCTGTCGCGCTTGCGTGGTGCTGCTTAGACTAGCATGGCGCTGCTTAAGAGGATGCTAAACCGATTATCGAGCTTGATCGAGGTTGAAAGTACAGACTTTTATAATAATAAATTCGACAATAGTGCTGACATCTTTGATTAATTTCTTACATTATATTATATAATATCGTTCTGTTTTACTCAAACGCATACATCTGTCCTTATCTAACATATGCCAGCACCATCTATCGCAAGACCGCGCAACTACTACTACACGGAATTTCGGTTGACAGTCCCAGTCTTCGCAAAGCACTTGTATACACGTATTTTCCATTCGGTGACGATACTTTTTTTCTAGACTTTCAATCTTAGTTCTACAAACTCGGTATCGTTGGTTCCAATAATGTGACCTCAGCTGCACGCTTATTTTCAAGATATGGACTCTAAAACTCTTATATCAAGCAAATATATATCTGAGGTGACAGCTGTACGAGCCAAAAGTAAGTGAATTTTTTAACTTTTTTTCGATTTTTTCGAAATCCAGTACAGCTGAGGTCCTGTTTGTACATACTTTAATTTATGTAATAATACTTTGCAATCCGTAAATCCAATTCGGAAATTTTTCACCGAATGGAAATGTGGGTAAAACAGGAGGCTTTAGCATCGCCTTAAAGGTGCCATTACTGCAAGCATCGAGCGTTGAGCATTTGCGCAGAAGATTATTGTGTAGTAAGTTTGAATCTCTAGATTCCTGCGCAATAATCTTCTTGACGCAAAATGGTAAATTATGAGACTTTATGTTAACTATGGATGCTATACATAAAAAATGGGGCGTTTGCGCCCTGGATGTGCTCTTGGCCACTGTCAATCGGTAGAGTCTCCTCATCACGACAAGATGACACATCGAGAGGGAAAAATATATACGAGTACAATTTATAAAAATATATACACGTATTTACACAACTATGTACACCTTTTAAGAAATATCGATTTATATACAGCTATTTTCATATTTAAATATTCATAGACATGTAATCGTATAGGGTAAATCGGGGGAATACGCCAGTTGGGGAAATATGCCACTCGTTTTGTTTAACAATGATACCGATTAGCAGCGCTTGCGTTAATGACACAGAATTATGTACAAATGTGTGCTTAACGTGTTGCATAAGTATCAAGAATTTCCTTGCAACAGTATTGTTTTTATAAGGTAAATATGACGGCATGGTATACGAAAATGTGCTTCTTCTAACTTTTATACTGCTTTTATGTAAATTATTATTTAAACATTACACAATATTTAGCCCGATTAGCTTGTTAATCTATTAGAGTAGGTTAAAATGAAAATATTCAGTACATCGTTGATTCATTTTCTT